ACTCCTTTGGGTAAATATCAAGGAGTGTGATTACTGGGTTGTATGATAAGAATATGTTTAATTTTTGAAGAAACTGCCAGACTATCTTAAACTGCCGAAACTGTCTTCCAGAGTGGCTCTACCATTTTTCATTCCTACCAGGAATAAATGAGAGTTCCAGTTGCTACACATCTTCCTCAGCTTTGGTGTTGTCAGTGTTCATGATTTTGGATTCTCTAATAGGTGTACAGTGGTATCTTATTGTTTTTATATACCTATGTTAATTTTGCTCCTCTTTCTTTAAACCAGCTTTTTTTTCTGAAAGTGTATCAGTATTCTTTTGTTCAGTTTTGAATGTCATATAATTGAAGAAGTCTTGGCACCTATAACTTACTCTAATTTTATCAGCTCTATAAAATAAAGTTCAAATACTAAGTTTAATACTTTAGCATATTTTTATCAAATCATGAGTGAAGGTCAGATAAGTGAGTGCCAATGATACCTACCTGCACCAAAGCTGATGTCAGTAAAAGGGGACTCTATTTTTGAATTCTTTTGCATTTTAGTCTAAAGGGATTCTGAGACTTTCCTTCACTTTTTGAATTTAAAATGTCTCTTTAAATTTTCTGTGGGTTTGGCACAGTGCGCTGTGTTAAGAGAGGGCTTGCTGTTGATGTCTTAGGACTGTGCTCTCAAGTAGCATCTCTCCATCCTGCATACCTAGTATTTTCAGTAGCCTGCAAACTCGTGATAGTGTTAAGGCAGATTTCATCTAGGGGTTTGTCTGCTATCATTACCAATTTATGATCGATTTTTCATTCAGATAATGGCAGTTCAGCTTTGTGGACTTCCTTGATGTATCTCCAAAATATTCTTTGACTCCAATTTATGCTTTTATTCTAGATTCTGCCTCTCTGATTTATGAAACATGTTTGCAGAGTGAATTTAGCCCAATTCTTTCTCTTTCTTTTAAATGTTTGCATTGATGTCTGAAAGGAAAACACTTGTTTCTTTCATTCATCACTACTCTCCATACTTCTGGCCACCAGACAGTAGGTGGTTTCCCACACCAAGTAACTCTCCAGTTCTCTGTGGACATCAACTAGGTATCCTACATTCAGTTCAGTTCAATTCTGACACTTATCTACCTGGAGTTAGCCCCAGTCCTCACTGGTTAAGGGCCCAGTCCCACAAGACTGAGCTGCCACTTCAGGTGACAATTGCCAAGTCCAAGAAATCGCTTGTGCTTCTAATTGACTGAATATAAATTAGAGGTTTCGATGACCTCCTCCTTGGGTTCGATAATTTGTTAGAATGGATCCCATCACTTAGGGTAACAAATTACTTACTTGATAACCAGTTAATCGTTAAAAGTATACAACTCAGGCACAGGCAGATAGAAGAGATGCATGCAGCAAGGTATGTGGGAAGGGGTACAGAGCTTCCATCCATGTCCTCTCCACGTGTGCCACTCTCCGAGCATCTCCCTATGCTCACCAGCCTACATATTCACCAACCTAGAAGCCCTATGATACCCTTAAATTAGGATTTGTTTATGGAGGCTGTTAATGAGCATGATTGATTGGCCGTTGTTGATTCAACTCAGTCTCCAGTCCCTCGCCCTTCCTTGGATGTTGCCGGGAGTGGGGTGAAAGTTCCAACCCTCTAATCTCATGATTGGTTTCCCTGCCAACCAGCCTTCCTCTGGAGGCGCTACTGAAGCCCCTAGCCACCAGTCAGGTCAGTAGCATACAGAAAACCCCATCAAGGGTTTTAGGAGTGTGACCTGGAGCCAGAATGAAGACTGACTATGTGTTTCTTATTATAAATCACAGTATCAAGTTCCTTAATAATATAGAGCTTCAAACTTTTTCAGAATCTCATCATGAAATGTAAATACCTCATTTAATATGTGCTCTCTAAACTGTTTCCATTCTCCAAATTTCTTTTTGAAAGTTTTCTTGTCTTGACACCTTTTCAGACTTTTTCACAGATAGGTAGGTTACATCGTTTTGTTTTATACTCTACTTATATGTTTACTAGGGCAGCACTCTTACCTTACTTAGTTGTTTTATTTTGAATGGAACCATATGAAATTGCTGTTTTTGGAAGTAGAAATTTTTTGAACGTTGGCAGTTTTGTATTGTTCACCTTATATGGCAGCCTTCATATATAGTAATAGATGTATTATCCAGCAAAAGCTTTGGGGCACTAGAAAGAGCGAATGTTATCTTCAGAGAGTAGGGCATTAGCTTTTTTTTCTTTTTTTTTTAAATATGTTGCACTATGTATCTATCTATTTATTTATTTTAGGGGGGATAATTAGGTTTACTTACTTATTTATTTCCAGAGGAGGTACTGGGGATTGAACCCGAGCATACCTTAAGCTATACCCAACCCCTGGTATTAGCTTTTAATATTTCAGCATTTCAGGCAATACTGGAATATTTTTTTACTGGTACTTCAGTTGCAAAAGTGGAATGGAAATTGTTAATTTGATCTTAATTATGTGTTATATATCATACAAGTGATACTGGCTACTCTGGATTTTGATATTTTAGATGTTTCCTTTCATCCTTCTTTTTAAATGTATTTTTAAAGCCATCGTACTAAAGATCCCCTCAGCATTTGTTTAAATAAGGATTTCAGCGGTGGAGCATTGCAAGATAATTAAATGAAAAAGGTTAAAGGATGACTATGGGATGCTCTGCTAAATTAAATGGCCATGGACCAAAAGGCAGAAAGCTTCAGTGATGGTAGGCAGTAACTGGGATATTCATAGATGGCTAAGATCAGTAGCCAGTGATTTGGCTGCTTGGATTGAGCCAGACTAGAGTGTTTTGTGTTTTTTTTTTTTAACATATATTTATTTATATTTGTATTTATTGTTTATTTATTTTTAACTTTTAATGGAAGCACTGGGGATTGAACCCAGGACCCATGCATGCCAAGCACACGCTCTACCACTGAGCTATAACCGCCAACCCCTAGAGTGGTTTTTATGTTAGAGTAGAAGACTAATTTGGGGGAATGGCCATTAAATGCAGTAGAATGGTAAGTCCTCACCTCGCCTGAGGCATGAGAGGATGTATCACTTGAACAGCTTTTATTTGAAAGAGTTCCAAGACAAACTATATCTTTCTTTGAGGGAGAGCAAGTGTTCAGTTAAGGTAGGAGCATTGTGTGAGCAGTTTTAGGGTGGAGTAAAGTTTAGTAAACTAGATGGAAGAACTGAAAGAGTTTGATTATGCTAATCACTTTTTTTTGCACTGCCGTCCCCACCCTGGTTTCTGTGGTGCTGTGCTGTCTTTTCTCCTGGTTGTATGGCTACCACCTTGCCCTTAGTGATAGTTAACACAGAGCTGCTCCTTCTTCCTTTGCCTCCCTCTTAACCATTGATGTTTCCTACCACCCAGTTTTTGTTTTCATCTCTTTCGACTATACTGGTTGACATTGGGTGATTTCATTCATTGTCATAACTTCAGATTTATTTTTCCCTTTCTCATAGCTTTTAGGCCTTTATATAAATTATTATTTGCCCTGCTTATTCTGTCTTTTCCTACTATTTTCCACCTGGCAAAATTCTGTTAGCCCTTTGAGGTTCAGCATTTTATTTAATTTCAGATCCTGTTTCAGTTATCCAGTTGCCTCTCCCCTCTCCCCAAGTTTTCTGTCTAGGTTAGGTGCAATCTATGTTCCCTTAATCCTCTGTACATACCATCATCATAATGCTGCTTCTGCTGTTTCAACGATTGGTTTACTTGTTTGCCATGTCCCTAGACTGAGCTCCACAAGCTAAAGGCCTAGAGTTTTCTAAATCCCCCTCTTCACAGTGCTTAGCAGAATACTTAGGATTGGTAAATATTTGAATAAACATATTATCAACAATTAAGTATTGCCTCAGAAGAAAGTTACTTTAAAATCTGTTCACCCCTATAGTCATTAAAGAAATGAAAGTTGAATGACAAGGTGCTGTTTTTAAGAAGTAGTAAAGCACAGTAGTTAGCAGCATGAACTCTGGAACAAGAAGGCTACCTTGATTTCAGCTTCAGTTCTGCCATGTACTTGCTCAGTGGTCTTGGGCAAGTCTCTTAGCCCTTCTGTGCTTCATTTTCCTATGTGATAATTCCTCTTTTACATCTGGCGATAAGTATTACATAAGCATTTATTATCGTTAGTTTACATTTTAAAAATTGGCTCAATATATTTGGATTAAATTAAGATAGCCACTTATGTATAATGATGATAGAAATTTCAATTTGATGTTTCTGGAAAGCAGTTTTGTTTTCTCTAGTAAAGATTTCCTATTTTTTGATTGAATAATTTTATTTTTAATAATCTCAATAAAATTTGAAATGCAGACTCATACATAATTTGAAATATAGAGTCATATATTCCAGAATTACTTAGGATAGTTTGCAAACAAATCTCTGGTGAGAGGGGAATGATTAAATATATTGTTGAATGTGATGCAACAGTTAAAATGTTTGCATTTTAATGATATGAGAAAAGGTTATGGTACAGTAGGTAAGAGATCAAAGATAAAACATTATCTTAAATATGTTTTTAAAAATGATTAAGAGGCTAACATGTGATTACTTTTAGGTGGTAGAAATTAGTCTGAGACTAATTTAAATTTTTAAAATGGGGTTAACAGCTGACATGCTGACATTAATTGCTCACAATTAAATGAGGTAATTTGAAATTTTGGATGTCTTCTATTTTTATTAAGTCACGTCATTGTTGTTCATCTTTAATATATTTATTATAAAGTCAATCCTTTTTGTATTGAAGAAAGTATAACGTTGTGTTTTCTTAAATATTAAGTCTTTATGTTTACTTTTTAACATAGGAATTTCCAGCACTTTTTGTCTACGGTATTTTACCCCTACAGTTTACCATTACTGCTCAGTTTCCTAGAAATCATTTTCCAAATGTGAAGTTATTGTATGATTGCGGTGATGCCAGTGTGATTTGGTCTAGACTTGTTTTTTCTCACTTTCTCTCTCTTTAATCTACAGCAACTGGAGCAGATCCAAAAGGAATTAAGTGTTTTGGAAGAGGATATCAAAAGAGTAGAAGTAAGATACCAAGAATTTCTCACATCTCTAGTAATTTTTTCAGTTTCAAGCAATTGTTGCTTTTCCTTTAAACTGCTGCATTAAACTTGAGGTTGGTCTCCGTTATATAGAAAGTAACAGATGTTACTTTAATTTTAATTGAGAATGCATTTTTGTAGAAGCATTCTGAACACTTTCTTTATGATAAAATGTATTCTAAATTTGTTTTCACAGTGTTTTATTGCCATAATTATTCTTGGGTAGATTGAAAAAAAATCAGTTTTCTTGGTTTGCCATCATGTTAATTTAAATCAACTCCCACAAAACTCAGTTATTACCATTAAAATATATCATAATTCCATCCTTTTATTAAGTAAATAAGTCTTTACATATCTACTGTTAACAGGATTAATTTTTTAAAAAGATATGATGATACATTACCAGTAATCTGGGAATTTATAGCATAATACAGTTTACTTATAGAAATCCATGGGAGATCTTAGGGAGGCTTATAGATGACTATGTTCTGAGGTTATTTTCTTCAGCCTTATTTAAATTTAGTGTGTATTTTAAATTATTCACATGTGTTATAATTTTCTTTTGCTGTATGTAGGACATCCTAAATGATACTGAGTTTGCTGTTTTGTGGAAGTTCAGTACCCATGTGGCATTCGCACCTTTTTACTATTATATTAATGGCCCTTGCTTGGCTGTATGATTGAGTTGAGCTTGGAATAGCCAAAATAATTCTACCTGATTAGGTATCTTTAGTAGCACATTAAAATTTGCTGTTTTTCCATTGATCAAAATGTAGTATATAACACAGGAGGCCAGGTTGTTCGTATGATTCAGGGGCATAATTTATGCAATAATAGTTCAGTGGGAGGACTTTTCCTCTGAGTTAATGATCAAATGTTTAAGCCATTAGTAAACAAAGCTAACATTTGAATCAAAAGTGTTACTTTTCTTAATGTTTGCAGAAAATACTTTTAGAGACTGACCTGTCCTATTTTTGTGTGCATAGTGAGTTGAACATAATGATCCAATTGCCATGCTGTCATATTTATCTTAATAAGTATCAGTAGATTCTCACTTGGGTTCATGCTTAGCTAGTTTTCTGTTCACAGAGTGTACTGTACATCTTATTTGAAATATTTACATTTGTCTTTTCCTGCGATTGGTGGCTTCATTAGTGAGGAAGGATTGTTATTAAAGAGTTTCTAGTTCTTTAAGAATGTGTTCCATAGGAAAGGCTTGTCTCTTAACTTTTACATATCCTTACTTTTGCACTCCGTGGGGAGAGAGGAAGCTTTGAGAAACTTGGATGTTGAGACAAAATGGGACTGATGAAACCTGGGAATGGGAAGGAGTGCCATGACTCCTTTGGATTTATACATCTCCTATTTGGCATGTCTGTAACTCGGATAATTGTACTTGCAGGAAATGAGTGGCCTGTACTCTCCTGTCAGTGAGGACAGCACGGTGCCTCAGTTTGAAGCTCCTTCTCCATCACACAGGTACAAAGCTTGAAACTTGTAATTGCTTAGGATTTATGTTACAAAGTGCACATATGGTACTAGTCCTTGGGAGCCTTTTCCATGTAATGCACAAAACCCCTGAGAAATTACTTTTGGTCGTGATCTGGAAATGAGATTCAAATGGCCCATCTGTTTCCTTAATGCTTTGAATTTTCATGCCAAAAGTTAGTAGAATATTATAATACAGTGAATTCACTGTTGGATTAGAAGTTTAGTGGATTTCTTAAAATAATGGCAGCTCTAAATATCTTGTAAATTAAAGTCAGAAGACATTAAAAATCGATAATTTGAGAAGACGAAATGCTAGTATTAGGAAAAATTTGATAAAGTAAGACCTTTGGCCTTTCCGCTAACCCTTGAATTTCCTTGGGCTGATCACTTTCCCCAGATTTAAGATGAGGGCGTTAGATATCCCTCGTGTTTTCTTTATGACTCCCCATGATTAATTTAATTGAGCCTTCCCTTCTATATGCTCGGTTAGAGCAAGAGCTGTATTTGTCTTGCTTGTGACTATTTCCGTAGGTTTCAGAGCAGCAGTAGTGACTGACCTCTCTCAGTATTTGTGGAATATAATGAGTGTTTGTGGTCCCTTTTAGCTCTGAAGTTCTGTGTGATAAAATCTACCTAAAATTTGAATTTGAACTTTTTTGTTGTGTTCAAAGCAAGTGCAATTTTATGTGTTTTTAACTTGCTAATCCATTTAGAGTAATGGCCCTGTGGAAGCTTTTCAGGCAGATAGTTTTAGGGTAACACATGGATTATCAGGCAATCCAATGACAGTACGAGAGATTACACTACCCTTCAGAATCTGTGTCAGTTCAGCAAAGCTATTTTGGGTCTAGTTTGGTACGATATGTGGAGAATGGGGCACAAGGAGCATTCTCGTTAAAGAACATTCCTGGGATGTTTGACATTTTTCACTAACCATTTTATGGAGAATCCTCGTGAGTTCTAGGTGATTCTGGGATCACTTTAGCTCTGTAATTCAGCTTGTTTTCCTCCATATTTTATTTTCTTTAAAACACTCTGGAATGACTCAGTCTGTGGGATGCTATCTTTAAGTTTAGCCTCCGCTTCCTGATGTACGTGGGATCTTTGTCAATGAAATATTTATGGTATGAGTGCATGCAGGCAAGTAAAAGTTGTCATATCATGAAATTTTCTCTAGTAAACTGAAAATTCTCATTGTCATATCACTCTGTTTAGTAGCAACATTTCTTTCTATTTTTTATGTGCAGGTCTTTGTTAATCTCTCACTGATGTCTTTTAATAACATGTTGACAATATAGTTTACATTCATTTAATTGGCTCTTTCCATTGAATGCCTCTGGTGTGCTAGCTGTTGAATCTAGCTGGAAAAGTCCCTGCTCTTATGGGGCTTACCTTTAGGATATGTCTGGAGGTTGGGGGAGATGCTAAATAAGCAGATATACAATGTAGTAGTGGTGGTACATAACACATAAGTAGTATCTTAGGAAGGAAATTAGATGTACTGGGGGCCTGACACATGAGTCAAGTGGAGTGAAAAATGTGATAGAAAGTCATCGGAGAGTTTTGAGAAGGATCTGTTTTAGATTTTGAAATATTTACTGAGGTTCCCGTGTAGAGGATAGAGAATAAAGAGACTTCCTGTATCCCTCCCAAGCCCTTGCCATTGGAAGTGGGGAGGGAAGCTGGGAACACTGCAAGAGTCCAGAAGAGAGGAAATGGTGGCTTGAGTTAAGATTTTACTGGTGAAAGAGGTGAGAAGTGGTTGTATTCTAAAATAAAGTAGCAGATCTGATAAAAGACACAGAATTTCATGATATTTTTTAAAACTTTGTTGGAGAATTGCTGAAATCATATGCAAAACTGTTGTCAAATGAGATTCTGGCAGAGTTAGACTGGTTAACAGTTGAAGATGGGCAAATAGTAGGCAAACATGGTATTTTCTTCAGAAGAGTGTTCTGGTATTTTCTTAAAATGAGTAATTTGATTACCACTCAAAGTTTGAGAGAAACACTTGGGAAAAATGATGTAGCCTTAAATACTTCTGGGAAATGACCCTTAAGATTAAGGTGTGAGATTGAAAAAAGTGGCAAGAATATTATACACTATCAATATTTGAGTTTGCTTTAATTTTAAGAAATAGCATGTAGTTGCAATCATAACTTTTCCCTCATAATTATTAGCTTCATTATTTAAATGCTGGACAGTTTTTATTTTTATTCCTCACTGTAATGATTTGGTCTCTTTTTTTAAGTGGTTTACTTTAAAAAAGGCTTTTTGTGAATTCATTATTTTCCTATAGTGAGGGCTTTTTATAAGGTTATTAAACCCCTTACACAGATTTGGGTTTATGGTTAGATTTATATCTGTAGTGAAAATAAAAACAAAAGACATATAACTATACCCCCTCTCCAGGATATATACGATGTCTACTATATACCATGACTAGCTATAATTGTCATGTCCTGTCTATTCTCTTCCTGCTGCCTTGTTTAGACCCTGAATATCATATGAAGTCTACCAATGTGGTCTTTTAACTATCCTCCTATCGTGTCTTGTGAGAAATCTGATCATGTATCTTTATCTGCTAAAAATCCTTCACTGGCTTTCCATTGCATCAGAATCGGTTTAGATCTAACTCTTTTGCATGACCTTCCATAATCACCTGTACCCTGCCTCCTATTTTCGTGCTTTAAAATTGAATTTAACCCTCCCCAAACAGGATGTTAGGGTACCTTAGCTTTTATTATTCCTTTTGTCTACAAATTCCTCCTGGGTTCCTTTCTTAAGTAGCTTCCTCCCCGACTCATTCCCCGCAAGAATATAACTGAGGGGTGAGTTTTTCTCTATTCTTTTTTGATACACCAGTTCCATTAAAAAAATAATTTTGGAGAGATAGAATTAACTACTTTTTTTTTTAAAGATTCCTATTTATTTTGATTCTTCTCTGTACTGAGTGTACTAGTTTGTGTGGATTTCCCATGCTGCACTGTAATCCTGGGAATGTTGGGTTTTTCTTACACTCCTATATTTTTATATGAGCACTTATACATAATAGGACTTAAAATAGGTTTTTGAATAAATGCATACTTAACCTAGAATGTCATTTACTTTCCATAGTTGTGAAATTTTGACTGAAGCATGACTTCCAGTATTCTTAATAAGTAAACTAATACAATCTTTAAAAAACTGTCAGCCAGACTTCATTGGGGTCGGATTGAGGGGTGAGTGTGTGATTATTTCCTTGGTAAAATCAGTTAAAACCGTTTTTAAACACTTCTAAGCCTTCATTCATTGCAAATTTCTCATGTTAGAATTAGTTCAGACCCAAAGATGGCTGCCTTCAGGGCTTTTTTCATTCTTTAGATTCTGAGGAAGAAGGTCCTCACAGTTCATAGGATAAACAGCAGTTTATACTTTATTGTTGGATAGCTGATGTGTCAGATTATGAGTAAATTAGAGAGTGCTAGGCAAACACAGTGCTTTTCACCTGTTGCCAAATGCATTTTTTTTTTCACCTGGGAGTATGATTAGGAGCGTGTATAGCCTGATCCATTCTTCTGGGAGATTGTTAATATAGGAGGCATTTTTAACTTTTTAGCTCAAACTGTATTTAAGTAATGAAATATTTTAGCCAGATCTTCTTGACAATGACAGTGATGATTTTGTTTCAATTTAAACATTCTTTGACCAAAAAATCAAAACTCTAAAACTTAGATTTTAAGTCTTCAGAGCCATTTATTACCCCTAGCTTTGCTTATAATTTTTTAAGTGTATCTCATTGATAACGATTTCTGACTCAAATAATTGTCTCAGAATTGCTTTTATCTTTGTCTCTAAACTAAGCAAATATTTCAGAATTGTCAGTTATTAGTCTCTTACTTCTGTGTTTTTGGAACTTCAAAGAACTTGATTTAAAGATAATGTATTAGTTGAAGCTTCTCTATCTGCTTGTGGGTGAATATGCTTTAATGTGGTCGAGATAGTTAATGGAGTTAAATTTTCAGAAGAATTTTTGTTTTCCTGTGATACATTAGAAAAGAAATGTAATATAGATACAAATAATAAATAAAATTATTCTAGAATCTCTAATTTTTAAAATGCTTTTACCAATAAAAGACTTGCTATTGATCATAAATTTAATTCATTTTAGAAAGACATATGCATCAATTTAAATTGTGAATTGCTTATTAAAGTTTTCTGTGGCATAGAAGAGAGATTCTTAAAAATAAAATATATAGGTAAGACTATTATATAAGATGCTTTTGCTTTTATTTAACTACTCTATCAGATATTTTTGAGACAACCTTTCATTTATGTTTCTGTCATTTCTGACAAAAGTCCAGATGAATCAAAATGTTGTTATAATAGAAGGGAAAAAAGCAAGGGATCACTTTATAGATGCTAGGATTATTTAATTATTATTAAGAATATATACATTGAGTAGTGAGTCAATATCTTATGAATTTATTTATTTTATAATTTGGCTGAGTAAACTAATATAATTCCAGGGATTTGATGGTGCATAATGGCTCCTGGACTAGGTTAAGAAATTCCTCTTTGACTGACCCACATGACTCTATGCAATTATACTAACCCCTGTGTCCCCTCCCCCTCCCCAGTCATTAAAAAATATATATATATGTGTGTGTGGTGGAGAGAGGGAGGGTTAGCGGTCGTTCTTTGGTACAGTGGATGAAAATGGATCCATCTTCTGTATTCTTGCATATTGGGTCTTTAGCTGGATTATGACCCATAAACAGAGCAGTATTAATGACTTCCTCACATATTAATGCTGGAGTTTTCAGTACTTTCTGGCAGTTATTATTGGTTCAACTGCTTTATTTTACTTGGAAAGATAATTTTTTTTAAATGTAGAAATTTAAATGTTTTTATGCTCAAATCTAACCTTAATTCTTACAGATTTATCCCTAATTTATTATGTATTTTAAACAAATCTTCTACATAAACCTAAAGAGTTTTTATATAAA